GAGGAGAGTATTTAAATGAATCATGCAAGGTGATTTACTAAGGTTTGCAGTAGTCAGTTTCTTGGTGTTTGCGGCACTATTTAACACCCAAAAAGCATGTCTGAACCCATCCTGGTAGATTGCGTTGGTCATTATGGAAATACATCGTCAGTAAATCAACTGCAAAACTTTCCACTCCCATCAGTGCTTTTCTGGGATTGCGCTCTCATGCTAATCTGCTCTGTTTAGTAAATCTGGCCCCAAATATTCTTATTAGTTGCACTGATTCATTTATGTTTGTAACTGTTGGACAGACAAATTGCTTGAAGCTGGAAACATTTCATGTTGCGTCCGCTCAGGACATAATGATGTAATACAGTCGCTTTTGTTTCCCACTGATTTTATAGTCAGCTGTTGACATGTTGTTCTACAAGAACATAATTCTACCCACTGTTATATTCATTGTTTTTAAGGAGAAGCAGGTGGATGAAAAACATAAGCGACTCAGTGGAGTCTCAGGTGAGAAAATGGGTTTGGTTATTGATAGTTTACTGATCATGGAGATGAACTGGCAACTCAAAAATGCATGAATCAAGTTGTTTTTGGCCATTAGTTATTTATGATCACTCTACTCTGTTTTTCAATGGCAAAGATGAATCATTCCAGACCTCATCATGACAGACATAAAGCTTGTGATGTGACTGAACCTGTGTATGACAATGTAACGGTAAGAGCTCCTCATTCATGAAAGACTAAACCCTGTTCACCTTTAGCCAGAAGAAATGAAATGCTCTTCAGTGTCAGTGTGAAACTGCGGGACCAGGCAGAGGCCACTTTTGCTTTTAGGGGACACACCGTCTTTAACATTTACCTTTACATACTTTCAGGATTATTTCAAGTCATTTTTCACTGACGTGTATCACAATCTTGGCGGAGGGTGAACCAACTCCAGGGTCAAGCTAAAAGTAGCCCAATGTTAGTGTAATCTATGCACAAAAACCTTTTATGCAAATTTGTATTTAACAAAATCACAGTTTAATAAAAACATTTTAAAGGACTAATTATAACACTTTTATTGTAAGTTGGCAGTTTACCTAATAATGCCTTGGCAGTAAATAATAACATATGCATTTTTCTCCTTTGGTACAAGGATGACCAACTATTTTGTATAAAGTACAGTGATGGGAACGTGAAGATGTATTTGTCACAAATCGTATTGCAGCATGATATATACTATCCAACTTCCTTAATAAGGACAAGTTTGCATGCATATAAACCACATCACCATAGTCCAATACTGAAAGGAAACAACTTTGGATAATTATTTTTTTTGCTTCAAAAGGAAAGCACTTCTTAATAAACCCAATTTAGGTCTGAGCTTTTTAAAGAATCTTTTCAATATGAATATTAAAATCCAACCGTTCATCAAGCCATAAGCCCAAGTATTTATAACTATTTACTCTTTCAATACAGTTCCCTTCCAAGGTTAGAATAAGCGGGACCGTTATTTTGGTACGACTACGAGTAAAGACCATATATTTAGTTTTGTTAGCATTTAAAACCAATTTCAGTTTTAACAATGAAAATTGCAGTGACCGAAAGGAATCTTGTAACAGCTCTATGGCTTGATTCATAGACTGTGCAACTGTATAAATAATTGTGTCATCAGCATATAAATGGATTTTTGCCGTGTTTATCTCTTGACCTAGGTCATTTATATAAAGTGAAAATAAAACAGGAGCTAAAATAGATCCCTGTGGGACTCCTTTATTTATTTTTAATTCTGTAGAAATGGCATTTTCAGCTGAGACACACTGCATTCTTTCTGTCAGATAATTCTTGAACCAATTTAGACTCATTTTACTAAAACCCAAGCAAGTCTCTGCAATAAGATTTTGTAATCTACAGAATCAAATCTAGTTTACTGTTTCATGGAGAAGCATTAGTTATTTATGATCACTCTGCTCTGTTTTTAATGGCAAAGATGAATCATTCCAGACCTCATCATGACAGACATAAAGCTTGTGATGTGACTGAACCTGTGTATGACAATGTAACGGTAAGAGCTCCTCATTCATGAAAGACTAAACCCTGTTCACCTTTAGCCAGAAGAAATTAAATCCTCTTCAGTGTCAGTGTGAAAATGCCAAATAATCTGTTGAATAAGTATATGGAAATTAATATAACACAAAAAGCTTGTTTGAAGTAAATTATTTATGAATGAATTCATACATTCATTTTCTTTCTTTCTTTCTTTCAGCTTTCAGCTTGACAGGAAGAGGCTGTAGAAGCTCACCATTGCGAGCTTAAAGTCCACATGAAATCAAAATTGACTTTATTTACTTTACTAGCGCACATTGCTAGTAATGATGTGAACAATTAATCTGTACAAGTTAATCCGCTGAAAAAAATGGTTTGTCTTCGTAATCTTTAATCAAAATCTGAACATTTACTTCCGCTCTGGAATGGCATTCCTTCTCTGATGACGTCAGTTTGACGGCTTGGGCAGAATATCCTTCCTCTATTCATTTCAGCTGGAAATACGTCACTACACTGAAATAAAGTCGGCAGCAACTTCCGGTTCACGCGGACTTTAATACTTTAATG